TTGCCTTGCTGACTTACTGCCTCACTTTCCACAGCCGTTTGGGTTCCCAGTTTCACTCCAATGGCCAACATGGAGATTGATGCTGGAGGACGAGGGGAGAAACGAGCACCCTCCCAGGAACTGAACCCTTTTGTGAACGCTGTCCCCCACCGTGGTTCGGGTACACACCCTTCGACCCCCAAGACCTTTCACCGCACAGGCGATCCTCTTTCAGAAACCCGATTAGAGACTCCTCCCAAAACCGAACGGCCTGCAGACGCCAGCCGCCAGGTCGTGCCCGCTGAGCTCCTCTCCGCTCCGGCGTTTCGACCCCTCCAGAAGCCCGCTAGTGGGGATATCGGGGACGTCCTAAAAGCCATTTTGGCCAACCAGGAACAGCAAAGGGAAGAACAACACCAGGCCTCTGCGGCCCTTTTCACCGTGGTAGGAGGGCATACTCAGGCTTTGCATCAACAGGATACCCTGCTCAATTATGTTGCAGATCAAGCCCAGTCTGCCAAAGACGCTGCCCGTGAAGTGTCCACCCAGCTCCAGGAGACGGACCGCAGCGTCAAAATCTTGGGGGACAACGTGCAGGGGCTCAACGCCCGCCTACTAGCAGTCGAACTGGACTCACGGAAAGGATCAGCTTCTACAGCAGTATCACACCAGTCCGCTCGTTCAGCCGGAGGTGATGACCCGTGGATGCAATTCCGCATGAATGCCGTTTCACAGGAGCCACAACCTAAGGGGGCGGGGAGGGGCAAGTTCCCTGGTCTCACGGTTCGCTCCCCTGAAGACGCCACTCAAACCATTGTGATGGGATCATGGGCAAAGGACACTCCCCGGGACGTCATTCATGGAGACATACAGAAAATTCTTGATGCTTTCCCCCCGGAGGTCAAGCCTTTTGTATCTCGCTTCAATTGCCCGTCTGTCAGGTGCACCTACGCATGGTTGGTGGAGGTCAAGCCTTTTGTATCTCGCTTCAATTGCCCGTCTGTCAGGTGCACCTACGCATGGTTGGTGTTGGACGGGCCCTCGAATGTGCTCCGCACTCGTGCTTTCGCCGTGATGAGAGCTGTTCGGGAAACGACCCGTAATAGTGATGCCATGGCAGGCAAACCCTGGGCCTCCTTTCCCAAGACCCCGGAAGAAAGAGCACTCGCTGGATGGGTTGCTAGGGTTCGCCGTTGTCTCACTGCACTTGGCGGGACCCCTGACAGGATCGAGTGTGATCATAAGCGAGGAATAGTCTGGATTGGGGACACCCGGGTTGCCGAAAGATCCGAGCACTTTCATGTCAAGGATAACCCCGCACTCAACCAAGAATCTGTCACGTCGATCCTTGGAGTCACCCCTGAGGCCTTGTTGGCCGCATGGACCACTGCGGCCCGTGCACGCTGACCCAATGCTGTCACTACCTCGCCGTCCACGAGGCGCGGTAGGGTGAAGCCGTTCCAGGCCTGTTCGTGGAACCTTGCTCGAACTGCTATTGTAGCTTTGTTTCATTTCTTTACGCACATTGCCCTCGGACATGACACGATGCCGCTTTATGCCTTCCAGGAGCACTCCTTTTTTCCGGAGGTGAAGCCTACCCGGCACCTGTTGCTTTGGGAGCAGTGGCATGTTGTTCGAGACTGCGGCCAGGCCCACACTTACGCAGGCCTTGCTATCTTTGCGCACACCGCGCATTTTCACACCCCCACTGAAGTTGCCACAGGCACGCAATGGCTCGCATGTACACTTAAATGGAGACATGCGGCCACCGCTCCACTCTTACGCGTTTATTGTGTCCACCTTCCCCATTCTGGGAAAACGGACTCTCAGATGACGGCTGCTCTCAACTCGCTTGAACAAGACGTTGAACTCTACCAGCACTCTTGCCCGGTCCTGCTTTTAGGTGACTTCAATGTCCAGTTTTTCCCCATGAACGATGCTCGTAACCCGTGTTGGGTACCAGATGGAAACCGCGCTGCTAAGGTTCATGCGATCTTGGCTTCGTTGGGCCTTGGATTTACACCCCCCCACCCTCACGTTCACACCTGGATCGCATATGCTCAAGACGGCGGTGCCTCCTGCATTGATTGGATCGTCGCCAGCGGCCTTACTTTGACCCCACTTCAGGTCTGGCCTGATTGGAACTATATTGTTCTGAGTGACCACCGGCCAGTGACGGCGTGGGTCCAAGGCCCGTGGACTGTTTCCGCCCCTCCCCCAAATCTTCCCCCAGATCTGACGCCTGCCCGGAACCTCACGGACAGGTTGGTGATGGACACCCCCGATGACCATGTGGTACTTTGACAGGTTTCCACACTGTTGGACCCGCCCACACAACCCTCTCAGGTGTGTTCAACGGTACTCGACCCTTCAACACAGGAAGATGATCTTGAGTATACGCCGTACCGGCCGGACGTGTCCCCGCCTGCATTGCCTCAGTCACATGAGTCCAATCACTGCATCAAGCTTTTTGGACGAGTTTGCTTTCCCGACGCACTGGTGTCTCCGCCCTTCCGAGGTGATTTCTCCGCTCAGGCCACTACTATGATGCACCTCGGGCATGACACTCAGGACTTCGGGGCCGTACTTCAGGATCAAATCCAGCTCTTTAACCAATGGGCCACCCCTCGGCGATTCTCCCCGACTTGGACAGAGCTTGATGCCAGACTTGATGCTTTGTGCAAACGCAGACACCAGATGACCTGCCAGCGTTCCCATTCCCTTTCACCCCCCCCCGAACTCGGTGACCTTGAGAGAGAGATCGTGACGCTCCGGACTATCCGCAAGGGACAGAAGCAAGCCATTGTCATGCGTGCTGCACTCAGGGATGAGCCTTGGGCAATCGAAGCTCTCACTCGTGCCAACCGGTGGGTGCCCAGCCCCAAACAAGGATTCACTCTCCCCGGGCCCCAGGCACAATGGAGACAACAAGTCCAGGACTATTTTTCGGCTTTGTTTACACCGAAGGGCTTACCGGACCCTCAACATGACCTCCACCTTGTGCTTGATAGGTTGGCGGGTCTGGACGCCACGGTCGAGCCGGCCGAGATTGCACCGGTCACTTGTTCGGAGGTCAAACAGGCCATCTCTCGACTCAAGCTCAGGAAGGCCGCAGGCTCCGATGGACTCACCAGTGAATTTTTCATCTCGCATACAAAAACCAACCTCGTGTGGTGGGCACAATTTTTCACGGTCGTCATTCGTGGCAGCATTTGGGACTGGCCCCGGCTTTGGTCCATCAGTGTGGTTTCTCTCCTCCCAAAGGTCCATTCCCCGGAACACCCAAAGCAATACCGCCCCCTCTCTCTTTGTGCTGTCAGCCTCAAGTTGTTTGACTATGTCCTGCTAGGCAGATTGCCCTCGGACTTCACCGCCCACACCACTTTCCAACGGGGAGGAGCCGTGGTTGGAGGCCAAGTTGGTGACGTAGTATCACAACTGCATATGCGAATTGAAAAAGCAGTTGAGTGGCAACATGGTCTCATTGTGTGTCGTTTAGATGTCCAGAAGGCTTTTGACTCCCTTCGCTGGAGGGCAGTCCTTGAGCTACTTCAGACGCGCCGCGTGTCCCCGGAGGTAGAACGAAGCCTCTTGCGAGGCCTCATCAGCACCCGGCTGCTGTTCCCTCTGCCACACGATGAGGTTGCCACGGTACTTCCTACTTGTGGAGTTAAACAAGGATCCCCGCCGAGTCCCCTCTTGTTTGCCCTGGCGCTTGACTCTGCCTTAGATGAGGTCGCCCAAATTTGGCCTGTGGACCCCTTTTTCTCTCTTATGTCTGTACCCGACCAAGTCAAACAACGAGCTGGCCTGTATGCTGATGACATCCTCTTGTTTGCAAGGACCTTCCCTCAACTACGTCGCATGTTTGATGAGGTCGCGTTTGCACTTGAACCTATTGGCTTGCTTCTCAGCCCAGGAAAGACAGAAGTCTATGCCAATGCCTTTGTAGCCGAGCCCACTTCACTCCTGGATCTGCAAGGAAGCAAAGTCCTGGTTGGCAGGTGCTTTGATACCTTCACACATCTTGGCTGCAAGTTCAACATGCATATTGGTATACGCGCGCACTATTCTTGTGCCATTGCTCAGATGTGGGGAGCCTTCGTCCGTTTTAGACTGACCCTAACCAACCAAGCCCTGCCAGTTTCACTCCGAGTCCAGATGCTTACTAAAAGAGTTTTCGCCAAGCTCCGGTGGATCATTGGAGGCTTGCCCCTCTCCAAAGCGTGGGTGGACAAAGTGAATGGTACCCACCGCCACATGCTCCGCACCATGCTTAAACCCCACAAACTTGCCACTGAGGGATGGCGGGAGCATACTAGACAAGCCAATGTACTAGTGGACCAACTTCTCACCACAGCCACGCCCTGGTATAAGGTTGTCATCTACACGCGGTACCGCTGGCTTGGTCATCTCCTGAGGAGTCAGACCGGCGCGGGCCAGCTCTTGAAATACAAGCACATGCTCTGGTGGCGACACCAACAAGCCACGGAAGCCAATTTTTCCTTCAGACATCGTTCGCGGTTTTGTCCGTTTCACCGCAGCGACTACGAGCTCTTTATCTTCTTTTCTGAGGGAGTATCAGTTGCTGATCACCTGCGGTTCGCTTTACCCTCTCAGGATGTTCTCGATTACGTCTCACTGGCCCAAGACAGGCTACACTGGAAATACTTTGAAGCCAGATGGATTTCGTTCTGGAAGCAGAGATATGAGCTGTGAACGTTTTGCCCGACGCTTAGTATCTTGGCTTTAGCCCTTTCAGCTTGGTTGCGTAACATGCGCCTTCTTCAGATTTCATGCTATGATCTATGCCAGGTCTGCCCTCATGAGGCTCGGCCCTCAGAGGTTCCATATTCTTCGCACTGCGGTGCCGTTGGAGTTTCGCTTGGCTCTGTTCACTCATGCCACGCTTTGGTTCGTTCACGACTCTTCTCTCTCTTTTCCTCTCTCCTTTTTGCCCTGACATTGTGTTTGCTCGCTATTGTCTGTACATTGACCTTTCATGCCTGGGCTCAGAGCTTTTGTTTCAGTTTCACCGTTTTTTCCCGCCCTTCAGCCATGACGGATTGGTGGACACAACCCGACTATTACCGTAGGATCAATTATGACTTAGATTCTCGGGATGATCCGTGGAACGCGGGCATTAGCTGGGGACAGTGGGACTACGCCACCGCTACGCAGTCCCCCGACCCTGGCACACAACACACGCAGCCTGCGGTTACCCAGCAACCAACGCCGTGCACATCACAACACCCGCCGGCGCAGCCGGCGCCCCGGCCCACAGCCCCCGCGACTACGACAACCCCACAGGTCCCTGAGCCACAACGGCCCGCTCCGTCACCACCTACCACTGCTACACCCACAGTTTCACCACCTGCACCAACGCCCAACCAACCAGTTGCACCGCAGCCCCCCATTGCTGGGGTACAAGGTAAGGGACTCTCACCCATCGATGCCGCCTGTAGTGATGGCAAAGGAATGATGTTCAAGGGAAAGGATGGCAAGGACGGCAAAGACGGCAAACATGGCAAGGACTTTTACGGCAAGGATGGCAAGGACTTCAAAGGCAAGGACGGCAAGGGAGATGGCAAGGTCGGCAAGGATGGCCAACAGGGGAAAAATGACCACGACACGCAGAATCCTGGGGCCAACCCCACTCCAGGCCCCGCCACTGCCCCCCCGGTCACCACTACGACCAATACGATGCCGGCACCGTCGGCTCCCGAAGCCCAACCTCCACAGCTCCCCGCCAATGCATTGAGCCGGGATAGCACGACCACTCCTAACCCAACCACCCTCGGCACTCAGGCACCTCAGATGGCACAGTCCACCCAGCCCACGCATCTCACCCTGCGGTCACACTCTGGCCCTGAGCCTACCACTGACGCATTCTCGCGTCGAGGTTGGCCCTGGCCTGTCGACGTCGACTCGGCGGCACATCCCGTATCGGCGATGATTGCCTTCCAAGTACAGCAGCTTGAGTTACAGCTGCAAGACAGCCGGATCCAACAACGTGAAGGGCTTCGATCGCTGCGGCTGGCCAACCGGGCATGGCAGCGTGCAAACCCCCCCGCGGGCAGCACGCTCAATCCAGTGCCACGTGAACTCGTCGACGAGCTCCTCTCAGCGTTCCAGGACCATGAAAACCAGGTGGTCAGCTTAGTAGACCGTGTGCACGCAGGCAACGCCAACCTTACGGCCGATGACGTGGTTTCGTCGTTGCACCACATTCGATTGTCAGCTTCCTTGCTTCGTAGCACCTTGGTGCGCGCGGCGGGTCAGTGACTACCCGGCATCACCACCTTGAATCGACGGGCGTGACAGGCCCCGTCTCACCAAGCCGGCCACCCCTCTAATCGGGCCTCATTTGTCGTTTCACGGTTTTGGGCAGAACACCTGATGTGCTTCACCCACGTCTCACCGTGCGACATTGGTCCCGACATGTGATTACAGTCCGCTTCTTTTGAAACACCTGCTTGCCTCCTCATTTTTCGATCTGGCATGACAGTTATCCCAGCCTTTCCTCACCCATATCGTTCCTTGATCGTCCGACTAAGGAGTGCTCGGAGTCTACAGCTACAAGCTCAGTACAGGTTGCCACTTGCTTTCATTCTTTTACTGTCGCCTAGTTTTCACTCTGGGTTCCTACAGCGGCTCAAAACGGTTTCACTACTCCTGCTTTCCGACCTCCGCCCGGGCTCTTGCCTTAACACATGGAGATTCATGGAGACACTCCCGTCTCACTCTCTTTTCACTATGCGGAGTTGCTTCGAGGCATCCCTGAGGATGAGACTACCTGCCGCCGCCTTCTCCGACTCTACGTTTACATGATCACCCGCCTCGGGCGCCGAGGGTCTAGTTTCCCCTTTGCGGTGCTCTCAACGGGCGTGCAATTGGCGCTCACTACAGTGCATACTTCGACCTTCTTGGATGTCTTTCTGGCACAACACCCCGTCCAACTCACGACTCCCTCCACTGCCTGGGAGCCAGGTTCACCTGGACCCCTGGCTGTTTCTACTTATACCGAAGAGGGCACCCACTTTTGGAACAGCTACGAGTGGCTCCGCGACGCACTGGACAGACATTGGGAGGCTGCATCACAACAACCGGCACTGTGCTCCCTCATTGATGATGTCGAACTTACGCTCATCGATCTCCAGCTCTCTCGTCACAGGCCGGCTACGTAGCACCAGGAGTGGACGTGGCCACCGCCTTCCTGTGGAGGTCGCACTTGCTCTTCGGTTTACAGCACTCCTCACACCCCGCCCAGTATAGCACCTTTCCACGGGTTTCACATTTTGCTTTCTCATCATGCACATAGACAGCTCCCGGATTGAAAATGGCATGCTGGCACTTTGGTGCGGTCCGTGCATATGCCATGTTTGAGTTGGCTTCTTGTTGACGCCATTGCCTACCTTCCGCCGGCCCAGGCCTATCGATGCGGCAGGACACTCAGTCACTCGATTTTGGGAGACCCTGGTTGATCCCACGTTGTCCGTTTCAGTTCTTCTCACATGCTGTACGCGCAAAGTGAAGAGGCATTGACCTGCCCTCAGGCCAAGATGAGGCCCCGCCCTTGGTGACCCCCATACCAGTTTGGACATGGGCATGAGGCCTCCTTACCACTACCACTATGGTAGACACATTCATGTCTGACATGGACAGACTCTGCTCACGCCTGCACCGGGTTGGTCGTTTGTTTCCTTTGAGGCTCCATGGTGGCCCGGCCCTCAGAGTCCACTGCACTTGCATTCGGCACCGCCATGTGAACGGATTGCAAGGCGTTCTACCATTGGATACATTGCTTTGGCCTTGGATCAACCTAGGTGTACACAGTGTAGGTCGGATCACCTGTCCCGCTTGAGGCGTCTCACCCATGTCCATGCTTCCCCCAACGTGGATCCCGCGGACCCCCGCTTGCTTACATCCTGCACCTATCCAACTTGAAGACAGCCCTCCGATAGAGATTGCAGATTCCCAGGAACAGGAGGCCAGCTCACCCCCCCGGCGTTGCCCGCTCTCACCTCCTAAAACCAGCCCCCCCAGAGCAGCCGACTCGACCCACTTGCACACTGCGGGAAAAACACAGCTGGACTCACCTTGCCGAGCCCCCACTCCGGACTCCGCTGGCACTAGGGCACCTGCCTCCCCTACGCTCCCCGCTTCACCAACCACCCCGGCCTCTCTCCCCTGGGCAACCCCCGATACACGCGGAGATCATGACCGAGACCAGGAACGGTCCTCTCTGCTTCGTGAGCCCGAAACTCCGTTCCTCCACCCGTGGCAGGACACCGCTGACCTTCAGTCTCTCCGACCTTATCACAACACCACGGAACAGGCACGGCAGCTACTGGAAGGCATTCAGGCAGCCCTCTTGCAGCCAGATGATGACCTCACCCATGTGGCTCCTCACTTGACCGAGCTACAGATCCTTCTTGAGCGAATTAAGGGGGCCACACTACGCCTCCCCTACACGAAGATTGAGCAACAGGTTCGGAGTTTCACTACGCCCTGTACCCACCTGGGCACCCTCGAGGGCACAGTACAAGCCGGGCTCTCCCTTTTCGGCTTCAAAGCCACCACGGATGCATCCACGCAAACCGAACTCCTGGTGTCACTTGTCTCACCAGCCTCGCACGGGCCGCTCCCGGCGCGCGGCAGGAAACGCCGCCACTGGACCCGCACCCCGCTCCCCGCTGGCAAGCGTCGAGCTACCATCCTTCGTACCACACAGGCAGCCCGGCGTAAAGTTCAACAATGGCTTCCTATGGGCTGGAATGAGGATGAAGCCGACCTCCTCATCACAGGCGAGCTTGACTACTCCGAACAACCAGTCCAGGAGCGCGTACGCCTCCTTGCCGCCCTATACGACTGGTGCGTTCTGGCCCCAATGGCCACACCACGCCGACTCAAGGATCACCCTCGCAAGGCTCGTACTCTCGCGAAACAGATGATTACGCATCTCTCGGATGACCTCAAAGCCGACCATCTCATGCTCACCAACGACTTGTTACTGGCCTTCTTCCTTGTCCTTGGACCCGATAGCCGCTTCTCGGTGGCCGAATTTTGCATGTTCCTCGACCGTCTCAGTTCGATCTTCGAGGAGCTCTGACCTTACCAGCAAGCCGGAGCACACCGCCATCGGTTTTGCGCCAGTGTTTCACCCCTGGCGGCAGCCAGGGGCGAACACCATTGATTTATTTTGCCAGTGCAGCTTTTGCCATTTTCAGTTGGCGGTTACTGCACCTCTTAGGAAGTTCGACACACCACGCGGAAAATCTAGACTACCCCACGATGTGCCGCCAAGGGATGCTTCGCCTCATGCCTTTTCCTTAGGAGTCGCCCAAGCCTTGCCGAGGCCCACACCTCCAGAAACCAGGCGGGCACGGCTACAGAGAGAGACGACACAGTTGACGATGCACGTACTCACTTGCTGCATGTTTCTCCATATAGCGGCTCAAATCAGGTTTGGTGTTTCTCCACAGATAGGACCTGGGTGTCTCACCTGACCATGACTGTCTCGGCCAACACCACGTGCAATCCCTGGAGTCACAAGCGCGCACACAGTGAGGAACCCCTCTCTCTCCTTACGCCTTCCGATGTTTGCGCCATTCAAGCACTCCGGCCCAGGGCGAAAAGTGTAGGCCGACATCCCACCCGCCCAGTTGCACTCACAGCCAGGACGAGTAAGCGACCTCTGGGAGGAGCAGAAAAACCAGACTCACACAGGTACACGGTCTGTAGGCCGACAGGTGCGACAGCGTTCCAAATGCTCTGGCGCATCCATGAATGGTGGGAGATCTACCAGCTATACCTCAACCGACGCGGCCGAGTACCGCCGAGACCTCCCGCAGGCGTGATTCACCCTCCACCTTTTCCCACGGGAAGATCCTCGGCCCCGGCTTCGACCTATTCGGGCCCCTGCAGACGGTACTCCCCGTGCCCTGCTCCGGAATTTGGGCCCGCGAATGACTCCGCCTCAGACGACCTGGTACTGGATGACCCCTCTATGGACGCGTATACATACCACGCCCCACTGGAAGGCGAGTCCACAGACGTGGAACTCTCAGACTCACCCCCGACTCACACCACCGCTGCTCCCGAGTCCGAGACTCTGCCGATCTTCCTCTTCGAGGCCGAGCACACGCCCCCGCGGCCCTATGCATTGCCCGAACCTGAAGCGGAACCACCTGTGAATGAGTCTCACACTAGGGTCCCCTTTCGCATGCAGTGGATTGCCCCCCGGAATCGCCTCCCGGCTCATACACCTTGGGATGGCTAACAAGGGACCTCTTTCTGGTATACAGCCTTTTCACCTCGCTGGCACCAGTTGCAGCCACGTGCTTGTCCGCTCTGGTCTCACCGTAGGCATGGCCGAGTTGGATGCAACAAAAATATGTGGACTTGCTCACGGATCCATTTTGTCGCTTATTGCAGTTTGGATATGCGCAGATCTTCTCTTTCACTTGTTGCGCTTGGGTATGCCTTCGTGATGCCAGGCTGCCCCTGTGGGCGGCCCCCTCAGAACACTCACTGCCTACTACTGCACCCCGGATTGATGTTGCTCGCAGTTAGTCGCTTAGGGATATGTTTCTTCACCCTGCTTTCGGTTGCCCGTTGAATCGAACACGGTTCTGTTTTGATTTTCAGTTCAAAGTCTTGTCACTCTCAGGTTTCTTCCAGCGGGACAGTCCGGCCCTCAGTATTGCTCTTTCACTCGATGACCGGTCGCATTTGGTCCTAGATGAACCGCTAGTTGACTTGGTAGCTCCCTAGCTTCCGGATGTCACTTCTGCGCATTTGGTTTCCTGCTTTACTGGTACAGGCCGAGACATTCTCTGCCGGGCACCCAAAGTGGCTATGCTCATACCAGTGGTGGTTTATCTCTTCTGATCCATGTAGTTTTGGACTTCGCTTGACTGAGTTCAGCCCTGTCCCTGATCTGCCTTGAGTCCTGTGGTAGTTACTGTCCCTTCGGAAAGCCCGTTGTTCTGCCCGTTGCGCCGCATGTGAAGTGTGCACCCCGTCTGAGGCCTGGACGCATTGAGAGCGCGCTCGGTCTCACCAAATGGGCTCGCTGTCGATGACAGACCATGTCTCACTCGCGAATCGATTTCACCTCGTATGTGCAAGTCGGCTCCGGTTTTTGTTTTGTGCTCGCACTGGCCGCGGCGCTCCCGGGGACCTCCTCCCAAAATTCGGGGACGTGGGTGGGCTTTCTCTTCCGTATGGGGAGAAGGTCCCTGATGCCCGCCGCGGGCCGGCTTGTTGTTGTTTCGAGCCCACTTGCATGTCAACC